GTCAGCTGTCCTTTCTGCCTTTGGCACTTCTTAACTGTGTATCTCAGTAATAATTTGGCTCTTCCAAAAATGAATTGGAATTTCTTACTTAACAGGCTTCTCCTTGTGTATGCTAATCCACTTAAATGTGTTTTACTTTCATGTTCATACTGAATGCTCCCAAATCTATACACCTACCTTCCCCACCTGGGTTTCCCACAAGCCTTTGCACTCATTTTGTTCCAACAAACTCACTTGCCCACTAACCCAGCTTTTCCTCCTGCACATGCTTTTTCATTTGTTGTCTAAAGTCAGGCTATTATAAAAGATTCATTTGGGTCAAGCCAAAGACCTAAACACCATCCTTGGTTCTTTCCTTATTCTCACTTCTCTGCAGACAACAAATGATGATCTATCATGGATCTTTTGAAACAAAAGACAGCCCCTAAACACTGCTCTCTTTTATCTCTTCCCCTCAATCCAACCACCATTGCCCCAGTTCAAGCCATTATTAGCTTTTCTCTGGACAATTGCAGCAGCTTCCTAAATGGGGTGTCTGTTTCCAGTTCTGTGCCCTCAGAGCCATCTTACTCTACACAGCTGCCGAAGACTGATCTCAAATGCAATCTGATTACATCAATTTCAGTATAAAACCTTTCTCTGCTTATAAGACTGCCTATAGGAAAATATTCAAGACTACTCACCAAGCAGCCAGGGTCCTCCAGGGATAGCTCCTACCTCTGTCTGCAGCACCACCTCTCTCCACGCACCACCTCTCTTCACGCACCACCAGCATGCACACAAATTCCTCATGTAAGCGATGCAGGTTTTCAGCTGGTCCATGTGCCTGGAGTGCCCTGCTCTTGGCTTGGTAAATTCTTACCCATTATTTAAAAGTCACCTTAGGTTGTGGGCAGTAGCTCATGCCTGTAATCCCAGCACTTTGGGAGGCCAAGGCAGGTGGATCACCTGAGGCCAGGAGTTTGAGACCAGCCTGGCCAACAGTGGTGAAACCCTGTCTGTACTAATAACACAAAAAATTAGCCAGATGTGATGGTAGGTGCTTGTAATCCCAGCTACTTGGGAGGCCAAGGCAGGAGAATCACTTGAACCCAGGAGGCAGAGGCTCCAGCCTGGGTAACAACAGCCGAGATCATGCTGTTTCACTCTAGCCTGGGTAACAAGAGCAAACTCCATCTAAAATAATAATAATAAAATAAATAAAAGTCACATTAAATAACTAAAGAAGAATGACAACATACAAAAACTAAAATTGCAAAGCACATAACTAGCAAAGCTAAAAGAGGATATAATGGAAAGATATACCTCGTTTCATTATGCTGGCGACATATATAGAGTGGATGGTTAATAGCCAAACTTTACAAAGAGCTCTTAAAAATCACTAAGAAGGCTGGCGTGGTGGCTCATGCCTGTGATCCCAACACTTTGGGAACCAAGGTGGGCAGATCGTGAGGTCAGGAGATCGAGACTAGTCTGGCTAACATGGTGAAACCCCATCTCTACTAAAAATACAAAAAATTAGCTGTGTGTGGTGGTGCACACTTGTAGTCCCAGCTGCTCAGGAGGCTGAGACAGGAGAATTGCTTGAACCCTGGAGGCAGAGGTTTCAGTGAGCCAAGATCAATACATTATACTCCAGCCTGGGCAACAAGAGCAAAACTCCATCTCAATTACTCACCACATGGGACTTTGCATAAGAAGAATGCCCCTACAATGTGGCATTTGGCTTCCCCAGATTCAGTGATACAAGAGAAAAAGGACATCCAAGATGGAAGCCTCAGTGTTTTATAACTTAAAGTCAGGAGTGAACTCCATCACTTCTGCCAGGTTCTGTTAGCTGCACAGACCAACACTGGTACAGCGTGGGAGGAGTTAACACAAGGATGTGAACGGGGAAGCAGGTATCACTGGGAACTATCTAGAAGGCTAGTGCCCATAATACACTTTTTAAAGTAGGAAATTATAGACAAATGTATATGATATCCTAGTTGTGTTGTTTTTTTAAAAGGGGAGTGTGTGTGTGTATAAACATAGATACAAAAAAGACTGAAAGGTTCCACACCGAGCACAGCAAGCTCTGTGCAGTAGGCTTGGGGATGGTGAGCACTTATCCTTATTTTATAATAAGATTTACTTATTTATAAATTTGTTTACATATTTATAAATTTGCTTTTCTTTTATGTACTACAATGAGCATGTGTTACTTTTACAATTAAAAATAATGAAATAAGTAAAGATTTCAAAGAGAGCATTTCAAAGAAGGCTCCAGGAAGCCTTCTTTGCTACCATGTTGATGTACTTGCCCTCCTGGCGCTCCCCTCTGTTCTGCCACACAATCCCACTGTTGGCTAAGGATGAAGCCAGTGTGTTCATCTTTGAGCCCTCTGTGCCTAACAGACTACCTAGCACAAAATACCTGTACTGTATGTTTGTTGAATGAATGGATAAACTAAAGGATTTATTTAATAACATTAGTATTTATTGAGTGGGTCCAAAGATGATGTGTTTGAGTCTAGACCCTTGGTACCCTGATACCAGTAGGTCAAATAGCTATTGAGATCTACATTCTTGTTCATCTTGATCATTTAACTTTGCTAAACATGGTATTCTTAATTTTTCCCATTTTTTTAAAGGAGCTCATCTAGTATCTGATTTTGTGGGAGATGGGGGTTAAGGTGTTCTTTTGAAAAAACAACAACAAAAAACCCTTATAGAAAAGAATTATATGCAACAAAGTGGAGAAACTGTGCTGTTTTATGCCACTGTAGGTTTCAAATATTAAGCTAAATTGTCTTGCCTAAATGAGAAGAGTAAGATAGCTGAATCAGCCCCAAATCTTTTACCTAATGTTAGTATCACAAATGGATGCAATTATAATTGCAGGCAGAAATGAATCATTCCAAAAGTAGGTTTGTGCAGCCACTTTTTTATATTAATAATATGCACTTAGGATGGCTTAAAGCAGTCATACTTTCATTGGAATGGTCTCTAGAAGCAGAAATCTGTTATTTGCTGATGTCTTTAAAAAGTTAATTTTCAGAGTTTTTAATAAATATATATGATATCACCACACAGAATTTGAACTGCTGCTTCAGACTTCATTATTTCCTAAATAACATCAACTCTAGAAAAACAGAGTCACTTAAACAGTCAATGGTGTGTAACCACAAGTTTTAGCAACCAAAATCAAGAGCTCCCCAGAGAACCGAAAGCACGTGTTTCGGTATAATGCTTTCCAACCATTCCTGGAAAGTTGGCAACCTGGGCCATTCGCAAACATTTTCTTGGGTGCCCACCTGTCGGGGGCAGGGAGGTGGCCTCCTAGGCTCCGGGCACACGAGCTGGTGGACTGGTTGACATCGAGCTCTCCCGAGCTCACCGAAGTGAGCACTCAAGAGCCCAAAATGCTGGCCCAAATGAAGGGCTGCCGAGGTGCTGCTGATCCCCGCAGTAATTTTTTTTTCTTCCCCTGTTGCGGTAAATCACGACTTCAGCACCTGGGCTGAAGTGTCGCATTCAGCACAGAGGTGGAAGTAAGAGGCAGAAAAACAGAAGAACCCCGAGAGAAATGGATCCTTTGTATTAAGACGCGATGCAGCGTTAAAAGGTTAGGAGGCTGAGATCCCGGGGCTAAGAGAAATAAACGGCTGATGGTGAACGACATGGGTGCTGGAGCGCAGCGATCTTGAACCTTTTCCCTTACAGCCAAATCCTGGCTAAGGCCACAAATTTCAGATCGCCTGAAAACTAAACTGGCGCTTGACGGTGACCTCGGCTGAGCGAAACCCTCCGTTGCTGATGATTTAACTACAGGTCCGCAGGTTACTTTCCAGGGAAATGAATTCTGAATAAAGAATCATCGAAGCCTTACTCCCTCCACGAAATTAGAATTCCCTTGTTCTCCTAGTCAAATAGGGAAACACACAGTTCCCAAGTTCTGCGGTGCAAAGGTGTACCGTGGTCCAGAGAGGTGGTGACTCCCCCACCCCTCCGCCTCCGGGTTGTCCTGCTTCCCAACGCAACCCACGACGGTCCCGCAGGGTGAGGGTTCTTTGCGATCTGTTCCCTGGGATCCGGAGAGCGCTACGCGGAGTCTCCCTGCAGGATGAGGGACCCCGGGTTCCCGCCCCCTTCCCCTCTACTCCCCCACTCTGCGAGAGCAGCCAGTCTTGCCGCCCGCGCTTCGGGAAGCTCGCCCCCGAGCTCCTCGGTTCCTGGTGGTGGCTACTTGCGGTAGAGACTTCGTTTCCGCGCGTTTGCTTATTTATATATTTGCCTCAATTCGAATATGATCCCCGCCTCCAGGCTCCGCTCCCGTGTGAGACCACTGCACCCCCCGAAATCTTCCCCGAAGCCGCGCGCATAATCCCAGGACCCCCCTCTGGAAGGCACGCGGAGAGCGGTGCGCGTGGCCTGGCATCGGAAGGGGCCCTCTTCTGGGCACCGAAGCACCCCGGGACAGCGTCCCGGGCCGCGGGTTCCTCCTGCGATGCCCGGGCTTTGGAGGCGGGATCGGGAGCTTCGGCGGCCCGCGGGCACCGACGGTTTTCGCTTCCCTGGCGAGCAATGGGACAAGGTCCTTCCGCTGCGCTGGGAGGGACCGTGGGTGGAAAAGCTGCTGCAGCGCCGGGGCGAGGGGGCCGGGGGCGCAGTCACTTGTTGCGACCAATAAACGGCGCTCGATCCTGATGCGCTGTTGTTTCTAAAATCTTTAGCTGTGTCCCTGATCCCTCCAACTCAAGCACTTCGGCCGGGAAGAAGGCGCAAGCGAGAGCCACTGGCTCTGTTGGGAGAGAGGGGCGCCGCGCCCGAAGAGGCCCCGTCCCTCCCTGCCGCAGCCGCCCCGGGGCACCCGGCCGCCCCTTTCCCTCCGAAGAGCGTCCCTGACGGTGAAACCGCGAGGGACACAACCCACCGCGGCTCACCACCCACTTACAAATCGCTGTCGCTAGGATTCCCGCCACTCCTCTCAGTCCGGCCCCCCCACCCCTGCCACTTTTCGGAGTCCCCCGCCCTCGTCACTGCCTCCCTGGAGCTGTGGGGCAGTCGGACGCGGAGCTGCCGAACCGCTAGAACGCCTGGCCGGAGCTGCCCTCTGCAGCCGAGCCGGCGCCCCCTGCCCTTCGCCGCCGCGCCGGGCGGGCGCCCCCGCCGCCCTCGCTCGCCTCCTCCCGGCTCCCTGCGCGCAGGTCGCGGAGCTCCGCCACCGCTGGGTGCGGCGGGGCCGGCGCGATGCGGCAGCTGTGCCGGGGCCGCGTGCTGGGCATCTCGGTGGCCATCGCACACGGGGTCTTCTCGGGTTCCCTCAACATCCTGCTCAAGTTCCTCATCAGCCGCTACCAGTTCTCCTTCCTGACCCTGGTGCAGTGCCTGACCAGCTCCACCGCGGCGCTGAGCCTGGAGCTGCTGCGGCGCCTAGGGCTCATCGCCGTGCCCCCCTTCGGCCTGAGCCTGGCGCGCTCCTTCGCGGGGGTCGCGGTGCTCTCCACGCTGCAGTCCAGCCTCACGCTCTGGTCCCTGCGCGGCCTCAGCTTGCCCATGTACGTGGTCTTCAAGCGCTGCCTGCCCCTGGTCACCATGCTCATCGGCGTCCTGGTGCTCAAGAACGGCGCGCCCTCGCCTGGGGTGCTGGCGGCCGTGCTCATCACCACCTGCGGCGCCGCCCTGGCAGGTGAGCGGGCCCCGCGCCGACCCCGGCCGACCCCACCCACCCCGCCCAGCAGGGCAGAGACCGCGGGGTTCACTGAGTGCAACGCCCTCACTTCCAGATGGGGAAACTGAGGCAGAGAAATGCGGAGAGCTTTGAGAGTGGTCTCTCAGCTCAAAATAGGGACTTCCGTGACCCAACGAGCCCTTCGCAGCGCTCTGGCTTTCTCCCCAAGTCCTCCTGCCCCGCAATGTCCTGGCTTCCGACCCTCACCCCTGCTTCACCCGGATCGCCCTTCCCGCAGCCCCCTCCCCTGGTCTTCCCATCTCCGGGAGAGGTGGGAGAGCCGCCTGAGCCTGGGAGCCAGAGTCCTCCAAGCCTGGACCGACCCGGAAGGAGGGGGCCGTGAACTTCCTTGGGTCACGAGGGGCTGGAATGGGGGTGGGGGATGGGGATGAAGCTTAGGCTCCCGGGGCTACTGCAGGGTGGCTGGTGCCGCGCGGAGGCTGCAGGCCTGAGGCAGACGCAGGTGCTGAGCGAGACGAGAGGCAGGGTCAGGGGCAAGCTTCATTGGGGGCCAGGACCGGCGTTCTCCCCCGCGCCTGGCACGCTCTGGGTTACAGGCCGCTGGCTGAGGCGCCCTCTCCCTTTGGTGCCCCACGGGGCGAGGGTTGGGAGGTGCAGGTACCACACGCCTGAGTGACTTCCGTGTCAGCTGGGGAAAGCCACAGCACCTTCCCCGAGGGCATGTGAGCTCTCCGGGACCTTTGTCGTGGACAGGGGAAGATGGGGTGACCCGGGGACATGGCGGGAAGGCGCACTCGACACTGAGTTTGGCTGTCGCATTTGACTCGGGTGGCCGAGGTACGATTGGGGTCTGTCACTCAGGAATCCGGTGGGCAGAGCTGGGGCGCGAACCCAGTCTGCTTTCCCTACACGATGCGTTTTCTCCGTGGGCCCCCCCGCCCCACGCCAACCTGCTGTCTTCTCTCTTTTTCCTTCCCGCCCGGGCTCGGCTGTCCTCCTCCTGCGCCACAGGAGCCGGCGACCTTGACGGGTGACCCCATCGGGTACGTCACGGGCGTGCTGGCCGTGCTGGTCCACGCCGCCTACCTGGTGCTCATCCAGAAGGCCAGCGCCGACACCGAGCACGGGCCGCTCACCGCGCAATATGTCATCGCCGTCTCCGCAACCCCGCTGCTGGTCATCTGCTCCTTTGCCAGCACCGACTCCATCCACGCGTGGACCTTCCCGGGCTGGAAGGACCCAGCCATGGTCTGCATCTTCGTGGCCTGTGTCCTGATCGGCTGCGCCATGAACTTTACCACGCTGCACTGCACCTACATCAACTCAGCCGTGACCACCAGCTTCGTGGGCGTGGTGAAGAGTATCGCCACCATCACGGTGGGCATGGTGGCCTTCAGCGATGTGGAGCCCACTTCTCTGTTTATTGCTGGCGTGGTGGTGAACACCCTGGGCTCCATCATTTACTGTGTGGCCAAGTTCATGGAGACCAGAAAGCAAAGCAACTATGAGGACTTGGAGGCCCAGCCCCGGGGAGAGGAGGCGCAGCTAAGTGGAGACCAGCTGCCGTTCGTGATGGAGGAGCTGCCCGGGGAGGGAGGAAATGGCCGGTTCGAAGGTGCGGAGGCAGCAGGTGGCCCAAGTGGGCCAGAGGCCAGGCGCGGTCCCCGAGGAGTCCTGCTGGTGGCTGGGAGCTGTGAAGAAGGGAGCAGGAGGTCGTTAAAAGATGCTTACCTCGAGGTGTGGAGGTTGGTTAGGGGAACCAGGTATATGAAGAAGGATTATTTGATAGAAAACGAGGAGTTACCCAGTCCTTGAGAAGGAGAGTATGTACCTTGTGCATACGTTTATTTTATATGTTAGAATGACATGTTTTCATGAGAGGCTTCCCCGTTTTATTCTTTGCGGAATGGGAAAGGGAAGAAAAGAAAGAGGCTGAAAGGTACAGACAGGTAGCCACAAATTTAGCACCTGTGTGAATTATTTAGTGTGACTTCACCTGAGGCATCACAGAGACAAAAGAATGTGAAGGTACTTAACAAAGTAAGGCAACGGTTTCTGCTTCCGACTCCTGGCACATTTATTTTTTGTCATTATAGCCATAACTAAATATCTGCATGTACCAAGAGTCCCTAAGCCACCCCCTCCAAAGATGGAGTGTAGAAATGAGAGTGCTTAGGAAGTTCAAAGATGACATTCAGGGATGCATTTTTGATGACAGAACTACAATTTTTGTCGCCAAGTGGGCAAAGAGTATATTGCTGAAATGCTCTATAAATATACTGAATTGATGTTTACTGTGTATAGTCATCTGAAATGTCATATTTACTCAGATTCTACTCACTTGTTTTTTAAAATAAGTGTCCAACTATTCCATTATATAGTGATAGAAACTGTTAAAGCTATTTTGAAACTATGAGTTCTTAGCTTTAATCATGAAGTCTAAAGTTTGCTCTTAGTAATTATTTTGAAAGTTGTTTTGGTTCATTGCTTTATAATATTTATTATGGAATGCCAAACCTATTCTTTTTTTCACTGTGTCCAATATTCTTTCAAGCAAATGCAATGGCTGGAATATAATTCAGAATTAACTGAAACCCAGTCAGAAGAGGGCCACCCGTAAAGCAATCCCTTCCAAGTTGCACTGCACATCCCCAACCACGTTACCAAAAGAGCAACTGCTATATTCACATTATGATATTTTTCTATCTTGACTTTGTCAAAATAAAGTATGAGTGTAACTATTAAAAGATACATTATTAGAAATTTATTCAGACACATGTTCTCTTGTTGCTGTATAGTAGTTTGTGTTTGCCTCCAATGTGTGGTCACGGTATCTGGTGGGTAGCGACCACACCATTTGGAAACTTGCTAAATTAACAAAGCTGTTTGGTTTGAAACAACAACAAAAACAGACACACATCTTCCAGTGAAGGAAGCTGTTAAAGGCCTGGTGCAGTGGCTCATGTCTGTAATCCCAGCAATCTGGGAGGCCAAGGCAAGCAAATGGCTTGAGCTCAGGAGTTCAAGGCAAGCCTGGGCAACATGGCGAAACCCCATCTCTGCAAAAAACACCAAAAATTAGCCAAGCATTGTGGTGTGCACCTGTAGTCCCAGCTACTCAGGAGGCTGTGGTAGGAGGATCACCTGAGCTCGGGAAGTTGAGGCTGTAGGGAGCTCTGATTGTGTCCCTACAGTACAGCCTGAGCAATAGAGTGAGACCCTGTCTCAAAAGCAAACACACACACAAACAAAAAACGATAACACTGCATCACACTGAGGTACGAAAGCCATCCACACCAGACTTCACTTAACATGGAATCTGAGAAGTAATAAACATTCAAACCCACCAAGGAGGAAGCTTTCTGTAAGCTCCAGGCAGGAGAGATACTTTGAGAATGAGGGGGCCCTCGGATGTGCCAGCATGTTGCTGAGATTCCCAGAGAGTAGCATCTTATATTTTCCTTTCTTTTCTAAAAATCAAAGCAAAGCAAAAATGAAGTTCCGGCTCCATCAGTTTGGCTCCACAAGTGGCTGAGCAAGTGGAATTGTGGTTTGTGATTGGCCCTGGTTTGCTGGTTTACACAGGTAATTGACTATTTCCAGAGGTGCCTCCAGCAGCCATTTAAGATGTAGGAGACCTCACATACTGCAGTTAGAGATGGTTTGTCAGGGTTATGATGACTCCTGACCAGCTCCAGGATATCCGTATGGGTGGGACCGCACTGGATGTCACTCACCATTGCTGCTAGACTGATCCAGTCTTTGTCAGTCTACTCCATTCTGACAACTTGGATTCTCCCTTGTTTCTGAGATTACACCCCCACCCAGTACCCAACTGGGCCCCTGCTTGGACAACCTGTTCCTATATCAATTCTTCATGGCTGAGGCCCAGCCTCACGCTCACCTGTTATTTCCCAACTAGAATCTGTCTCTAAAACATAGCTTGATGTCAGATCTTCTCAATGCTGGCCCCCCAAATGCTGTCTAGCTTTATTTTTTTTTTGTTTTGTTTATTTTACTTTATTGAGACAGGTGTTGCTCTGTCTCCTAGGCTGGAGTGCAGTGGTGCAATCATAGTTCACTGCAGCCTCAAACTTCTGGGCTCAAGTGATCCTCCCACCTCAGCCTCCTGAGTAGCTGACAGTATAGCTGCATGCCACCACACCTGGCCAATTAAAAAAAAAAATTTGTAGAGAAGAGGGTCTCACCATGTTGCCCAGGCTGATCTTGAACTCCTAGTCTCAAGCAATCCTCTTACCTCAGCCTCCTAAAGCATTGGAATTACAGGCATGAACCACTGTGTCTGAGCCTAGATCTCTGTGATTGAGGATGAGATCAAACAGAAAGATCAGTCACACTGGGGCAAGGCTGGGGACAGTGGCTGACACCTGTAATCCCAGCACTTTGGGAGGCTGAGGCAGGCAGATCACTTGGTCCCAGGAGTTCAAGACCAGCCTGAGCAATATGGTGAAGTCCTGCCTCTACAAAAAATACAAAAAAATTAGCCATGTGTGGGGGTGTGTGCTTATCATCCCATCTACATTGGAGGCTAAGGGGAGAGGATCACCTGAGCCCAGGGAGGTTGAGGCTGCAATGAGCCATGATCATGCCACTGCACTCCAGCCTGGGTGACAGAGTGAGACCCTGTCTCAAAAACAAGCAAACAAACAAACAAACAGATAAATAAGAAACACTGAGGCAATGACTTCCCAGAACTGTGTAGGTGAGAGAGTGCATGAATGTTACTGGGGTTGCTGAGCAGAGCTGAGCACTGACCTGAACTCCTGAAAGAGGAGCAGTCTTACAAAAGCAGTCACTCACTGTGAGAGGACACAGTGGTCTAAGTGACTAATAGCAATACTTCACAAAGGCAAAAGTGGGTGAAACTCTTAAGTCCTTAACTGACTGAAGATGTTTCTGCATTTCAGTTTGCGAATTTTCTATCACCCTACGTTCAAGCTCACTGATTCTTTCTCTGGCTGTGTTGAGTCTTTAGATGAGCCCATCAAAGGCCTTCATTTTCTGTCACAGTGTCAATTGTTAACTTCTAGCATTTCCTTTTGATTCTTAGATTTTCTTCTCTCTGTTTCCATTACCCATCTGCTCTCGGAGATGTCTGCTCTTCCCATTAGAAACCATATTAATCACAATTATTTTAAATTCCCTGTCTGATAATTCCAGAATCTGTGTTATATCTGAATCTAGTTCTGATATTTGCTTTGTCTCTTCAGAATTTTCCTCACCTATTTAGCATGACTTACAATTTTTTTTATTGGAAGTTACATGCTGTATTAGAAAACAGAAAAGCAGGCAAACAGGCCTCTAGTGTGAAACTGCATGCTAATCTGGCTAGAAGTCAGGTTCTGTTGAATGTTTGCTGTCGCTGTAGGTGCCAGGTGCCAGAGGCTGCAAGCTTCCTCTAGCGTCCGTGGTTTGTCTCCCTGTTGTCTTTGGGCTTCCCTGAGAACTCCTCCTTCCTTACAGTCAGGCACATTGCCACTCTTTCAGGTGGAATCCACTGCGATTAAACTGGAGACTGTGGATGTGGTGGTAAAGTGTGGGGAAGAGGAAGTGTTCTGCAATCTTATTAAACTTCAGCCTTTTAGTAGGCCTGTGTCCCTAGTCCCTGACTTTCACAAGTGTTTCCTGGCTTATCCCCCCACTCTCTTTACATGAGACAGGAAGGCTAGAGGAGCCTGGAATGGGAGAGATGCCCTTTCCCCAGGTGGAATAAGGCTCTGGGGAACCTTTGACCCTGGGAGTCACTAGCCTGAGTCTTAGTAATTTTTTCTTTCTTTTTTTTTTTTTTTTTTGAGATGGAGTTTCACTCCTGTTACCCAGGCTGGAGTGCAATGGCGCGATCTTGGCTCACCGCAACCTCCGCCTCCTGGGTTCAGGCAATTCTCCTGCATCAGCCTCCTGAGTAGCTGGTATTACAGGCACGCACCACCATGCCCAGCTAATGTTTTGTATTTTTTTTAGTAGAGAAGGGGTTTCACCATGTTGACTGGGATGGTCTCGATCTCTTGACCTTGTGATCTACCCGCCTCGGCCTCCCACCGTGCCTGGGCTTTTTTTTTTTTTTTTAAACAGAGTCTCACTCTGTTGCCCAGGCTGAAGAATTTACTACCCATTTCTTCCCAATCCTCCAGACCCCAGCAATTACTAATTCCAAGGTTAGTTCCGTGACAGTCATGGGACCTGGTCAGAGCCAATGAGATGCAAGGATGCTTTTGGCAAGACTTAATTAGGTTGCATATTTTTACCTAGGAGGATGGAGTAGGGTGAAGCCGAGGTGCTGTTGCCATCTCGGCTCACTGCAACCTCCCCCTCCTGGGTTCAAGTGATTCTCCTGCCTCAGCCTTCCAAGTAGCTGGGATTACAGGCACCCCCGCCCCGGCCCCCAACTACACCCAGCTAATTTTTGTATTTTTAGTAGCGACAAGGTTTCACCACGTTGGCCAGGCTGGTCTCAAACTCCTGACCTCAGCTGATCCACCCGCGTTGGCCTCCCAAAGTGCTGGGATTACAGACGTGACCCACTGTGCCCAGCCAAGTCTTAGTAAAATTGTCCCCGGTATTGTAACGGGGAGTGCTCTGGTAATCACAGCGATTACTCTCCCCTCCCCGGGCCAGGGGGCAAGGGGCGCTTTCTCAACTCTTCACCACCTGTGGGGCTCCTGGAGGTCAGGCCCATGAAAATGTGACCCTCCCTCTCTCGATAGTCCATATTCAGCCTCCAGAAATTTATCAAAATTACCATTTAAGTGTTTTGACCAATGGCTCCAGTGACCTCTGCTCCAGGTAAGGAGATCTCAGCTATAAACTTTTGGGATTTACCTCCCTCCAGATTTAGGGGTGGCAGTTTGCCCCGTGACCTCAGTTCTCTGATTGGTCCAAGAAATGTCATTGATTTCTCAGATTTTGTTCATCTTTTTTCTTGTAAGGATGGTAGGAACCACTTCTAAGTTCTTTACATATTGAAGCCGTAACCAGAAGTCCTGGGTGAAGACTTAGAAAGTCTGCTCAATTTCTGTAAAAACAGAAGTTGTGAAGGGAACCTAGACATTCTTAAGGAAGCTTCCAAGAGAAAGCAAAAGTGCCCAAAGCTACTGGCCCTTCTTGTCACTCCCACCCTCCCACATGTTGAGTGTTGCCCACTTCAACACTCAGCTGCGGTGACATATACATGCGGGTAGCATCCAAATCCAAGTGCATTGTGAGCAAGAGTCCATGCATGTTAAGACTGGTGTGCCAGGACAGCTGTGATTAGTATCAATTACCCCTTCTTCTTGGAGTGCTTCACTTCTTCATAACACAAGTCTCTTCCACTTCTGGATTTTCTTTTAGCGTGTTTCAACCACCTTCTCCGACGTTTGTACTTTTCATGTTAATTTCCCAGTGATGACTGCTAGCCTGACTCATCTGTTGCCTTAGTCTCTAGACACCATGTTAGATCTGCCAGGATGGACTTCATCCCAGCATCTACTGAAACGGTACCCTCTCCCAGCCTATGTCCCCTCCCCCTTACATACATTACAAGCACTTTCTATTCTGAATATATTTATTGGCCTGTCGGCTTTGTTCTGCTCCTAAGATAAAGCAGTAGGGGTTGGAAGAGAACCTGTGAGCAGAACAGAGCATAACAGAATAGCAGGACACATAACCGGTAAATTACAATCCCAAATCCCCTCTGGGAAATCATTCCCTTCCTGCTCTGAGCTCAGGTGGTTCATATGGTGTTGAC